CTGACCGCTAGCCTCAGAAACAAGGACTATTATTCGACCAGACAAGCGACACAAGTACAAAAAAATGGTAGGTTCGGATCCCGTTGGGTTCAGGGGCGTAGATAGGGGAGGGCGGGTGGGGCGGCCGCCCCGGGCGCCGACCTTAAGGGGGCGCCAAATTAGGTAGAGAATACAATAACATCCTTATTCTGAGCTGCATTACAGTCGAATTTAAGAAAATAGAAAGCTATTTGGTTCTATGTACGGCTTTCTACGTTGCTTGTGTGATACGGGAAAAACAAACTAGTAACTGTGACAGATGTGTGTGTGTGTGTAATAGGGTTCTTTTTCGCTAACGTGAATAAATATATAAATATGTGGGAGGGGGAAGTAAAATCGATAGTTCGCCCCGGGCGCAGAAATGGTTTGCTACGCCTCTGGTTGGGTTCTGACTGTTCTGTCTTTACTTGGACTTGGACTATATTTTGTACCTGTGTCTACCATTGGCGTTAAAATATCACTTTCTGTTTATATTGCTATTTCAGTTACAACGCCTGCTTCCACCACCCTCTTCTAGTTGTTTTGTTGGATTTTTCGCTCGCATTTTTATTTTACCATTGTATTTTTGTACCCAGAAAAATCTAAAATGTAGATTTAATGTTTTAAAAACGTTTTATTAAAAAATTACGACTGCAAATCTGAGTGTGTTGTTTTTTAATCTTTATGTTTGCTTGTTGGTCATTTACAGAAAATGTACAATGAAGTAATAATCTTTAATTATTTTTTTTTAAATGATGACAGAACAGACAAATGCAGGTGTGTTTAAAACTATTTTTACGGGTAGAGTGTAGCTCAAAATAACGATGGTTTAAATTTAAGTGTGTTTTAAGGCTAGAATCTATCAGATCCAGAGTTTCTTCCAGGCATCTCCCCCCGAACTAAATGGAATTTATATAGAAAATATATACATTTAACAGTGTCCGCCCCCCACCCCGAAGAAAGTCTACCGCCCCCCCCCCCCCGAAAATTTCAAGTGCCCCCCCCCCCCTGGAGGAATAAGTCTGGAAGAAACACTGATCAGATCGTTAGGTCAAGTCAGGCCCGGTTACAATTAGTGTAGGTTAGGACTGGGCTTTAGGTAAGTTAAATAGTAAAAGTTTCGCGAGAGGATTAGGGATATGATATACCTAGCTTAATGAATGTTCTGGATGGAATAAGCCTATATGTTTATTTATACTCCGTAAGCTAATTTCATGTGTTTTTGTAGACTCTTTGAACAGTTGTTTCTGGATAGGCATTCTAAACATGGGTGAATACCATTGGGGGATGGAGGATACCTGATTGTGATTAATTTATCAGGAGGATAAATGGCAATGGATTAATGGCAAAGGGGGGGGGGGGGGTGTCATAGAACAGTTGAATACACGTGTCTAGTGTGTGTGTGTGCATATGTGTGTGTAAATGTATCCAGGGGAAAAAATTAAAGTTCTCTGCAATTGTACAACCTATATTATATTCTTAAAATATTAAACTCCAAATTTTCCAACTGTAATTTCCAATTTTTTAATATAAAGGTTAAGTCTACTCAGAACACAAAATGGACCAAGCATTTGTTTAGGTACTTTTTAAAAAAAAAAACACTAACAATCTGTTCGCGCTTGATCAATGGACCGATGCAATTAGTAAAAGATAACAAGTGTTTTGATGACATTAATTTGACATGCAATCATATAAGAATTGGGAAGAACAACTGATAACAATTAAGTTCAACCGTCCTTTTTTAAATGTTAAGGAATGTTTACATGGTTGTATTGGTTTAAAAAAAAAACGCTAGGTAAATACGCAAAATATAGGCTACGGGCTGACCCGCGATGTAGCTTACGTCGCAGTATAGTTATTTTATTTTCCGCTTATCAACAATTCACAATTTGTTTGTGAATTCAACACAACATCTGCGTCTTGTCCTGCTTGGTCACCATGAAGAGAATTATATATACGAGCCGACCCGCGGCGTATCAGACGCCGCTATTTAGTTGTTTTATTTTCTACTTTTCAGTAATTCATAATTTGTGAATTCGACAGTACCAATGCTGCCACTGAAAATATATGCTTTAAAACACTATTAGATGGTCGTTAAGAACGATACCCCCCTCCTTCCCCCCCCCCCCCTTGAAAGCAAACTCCTCTTAGTTACTTCCCCTAAGTTTAAAATCGTTTCAAACTACATTATCTGCCCCTAATAGCCGTCACTAAACCCGGCTCTACGATTGTAAACAGTTCACCAGACCATGTAGGGGTGGGGGTGGGAGGGAGCGCGCTTACTGCTTGGTGTTTTCTATCGTCTCCAAGAAGATAATTATATATATATATATATATATATATATATATATATATATATATATATAGATGTCTGAGGTCAACCAAATACAATGGTGCTATAGATGTCTTGTGGTCAACCAACCAAATACAATGGTGCTATAGATGTCTAGTGGTCAACCAAATACAATGGTGCTATAGATGTCTTGTGGTCAACCAAATACAATGGTGCTATAGATGTCTTGTGGTCAACCAAATACAATGGTGCTATAGATGTCTAGTGGTCAACCAAATACAATGGTGCTATAGATGTCTTGTGGTCAACCAAATACAATGGTGCTATAGATGTCTTGTGGTCAACCAAATACAATGGTGCTATAGATGTCTAGTGGTCAACCAAATACAATGGTGCTATAGATGTCTTGTGGTCAACCAAATACAATGGTGCTATAGATGTCTTGTGGTCAACCAAATACAATGGTGCTATAGATGTCTAGTGGTCAACCAAATACAATAGTGCTATAGATGTCTAGTGGTCAACCAAATACAATGGTGCTATAGATGTCTTGTGATCAACCAAATACAATATATATATATATAAACAACGCGACATGCCGTTTTGATTTAAAGTTCTATATTAACCAGCTGTCTGCTCAACTAAGCAATCTGTATTTAACTCCACATTCCCCTAATCCAGAGGTCTCCAAACTTTTCAGTCCGAGGGCCGCATTAACTATCAAATTTCAGTTCGGGGGCCAGTTTCTTCCACTTCCAGGCATGTCTTTGATTTTTCTGGGCAAGGTTCCTCAGCCATCAGTAACAAACGTTTTTTCCGTGGACAAAAAGATCTCCGCGGGCCGGATGAGAGGACATCGTGGGCCGCTGTTTGGAGACCCCTGCCCTAATCAAACAATTGATGTGTGCCTATTATTACTATTGAGTATGATCTGTTGTTAGTCCAGTTGTACCAAGCAAATTACTGTAAAAAAATTGTTTTTCTTCTCTAGAGTTACTCTTTTCTGATTATATTCCAATGGATATTGTAACCAAACGTGGTTTGTTTGCCTCATCTTTACCTATAAACCAAAGAATAGGATTGTATGATTTGTTTGGTCAAGAAGTTTATAATTGAATGCACTATTTGTGTAAGTTAGATGGGAAGATAGATTAAATTCTTGAAAGCAAAAAAAAAAAAAAAAAAAAGCAAAGCATGAGGGAAATATGGCGGGCAAACTGACATTTTCAAACCCAAAAGCATATTTAACTCTAGCTGGGTTGTCAAACACTCACTCTTGGTGTTGTACTTACACTTACTAAGTCTAAAACAAATGTATTTTAATTTTATGTACCAAGTGTGAATTCATTGTTGACCAACAATTTTGATTTTTTTACTCTCTAGCAATAGGTTAAAAAGACCCAAAAAAGCATATTAAGACAAATAGTATAATTCATCTTACACATCAAGACTTTAGATATGTAGCCTACATACATGTTCAACTAAACAAAAATCAGTGAATCAAAAAGTAAAGCAGGTGAAATTTTTAATGTCTTTCATTTACTTCAAACATTTAAAGAGTTGACATTTTAGACATACCTATCAATAAAAGAAGAAAAATATTGTAAACTACTATTTTTCTTACATCAGCCTGAACAAATCATAGGAGTGTAAATAAGAAAAACAGTACTTTCAATTAATGTACATCAACTGATCATTTGCACAAATAACAGATAAAAAACCAATCAGCTTTGTCATAGGTTTTAAAAATCTATACTCTCCTGTTAAGCCCATAGTTAAAACCATAATAATTTAATGATGTGATCCTAATCAAAGAATCTGTAACCCACCCTAGCCCTATTATGAAGCCTGTTTGGCTTAACAGGATAGTACTACTGCGATGTGTGAATACTTACCTTTCCTAATCTAGTCATGGTTTATTCAACAAATTATTCAACTTTTCAAATGGGAACTCAATGCTTATACAATAAGCATGAGAATAACAAAAGGTTTAGCATCTAGCACTATAGATAGAATTTGATACTAAACTTACCTACATACACTAAATCAGAGGGACTCTGCAATACAAGTACAGAACAGGCTTAAGTCTGGCTCTCAAAGCATGAGGAGCCTTACAGACCAGGCTTGAGTCTAGCTCTAAAATTGTGGAGCCTAACAGATTGAGGCTTTCAGGATAGGCTTTGAGCCTGGCTATAGTAGAGCAAGGAGCCTTAGAGGATAGGCTTAAGACCTTGGCTCTACGTGCAAGGAGCCATACAGTACAGGCTTGAGTACCATACAGAAAAGGCTTGGCAGCCATACAGTACAGGCTAGGGCCTAGCTCTACAAGAAGACTTATATTGGAGGCTCAAAAGCCTCAAATTTTTACAATCTACACCAACCAAACTGACAATTATTCTTTAGCCTATTCTACATGTCAAGGTTCAATAAGCTCCTATCAACAAAATATCACTCACACCAACACATTCAAATATTAAAAACAGCCAAGTTTAACACACAAATCCTTTACAAATTTGCTTGTAAAAATAACTTCTATATACACAATGTCCCAGTTCCATTGTTTTCTGCTATTTTTAAGTCAACACTGTAAAGGGGATATAGTTCAACTTGGCTTGTTGCATTCTAATATATAAATATGCACAATACTCAAACTTATATCTTAACCCAGTAGGCTATATTAAATGTGCTTATCATACATTTAAAAATAGTGTTCTTGCAGCTCATTTTAAATTAACCAATAGAAAGTGTCAAACAGGTACATCATAATGCCAAATATTAAAGAATGCAAAGAATCTAATTTGAGAAATCCATTATAATACTTACCTTTATCTATGAAGAGTAGGAAAGTTTTTTAAACCCTAAAATGCACTACCAGTTTTATCCTTTTAAACAGATATTTGCTTCCTTCTAAGGCAGATCAGCTACAAATTGTTCCAATTATAGTACCTTCAATAAAAATTACTAGATGTTTCTTAATTGTTACCACTTATCCTAAGCCAAAAAGAAAATGAGAAGTTACTTGTAATGGCACTCCACAAATAGCCATGAAATGTCAGACATTCCCTTCCATACCAACAACCTTTGGTTTTATATCAATATAAACCAAACCGCAACATTTAGTTATGCCAATATTCAATTTAAAGCCAAATGCAGGTTAATTAGTATAGCTATGTATCATTAAAAAGCAAGACCATTGTTAATTGGCGCCAATATAATTATTTACATACTAAAAGCCAATTATTTTATCATTAAAATACCTTTACCTAGCAAGATAATTTCTCAAAAAATCTATGCGGAAATCGTCTTGCAAAATAGTGATTAATAAAGGAAGGGTATGCAAGGTTTATGTCTAGTATGAACTGTGCGTAAACAGTTACTGTAGCCCATCACTAGCCACTGCCAAGTGGAGGAGGGTAAAACAAAATCGTTACAACATTCTCTAAACAACATTTGGCTAAAGTCAATGCAGGCAGATGAAGGTTGTGTGTAGAGTCCTCAAAGCAAACATCAGCTCCTCACTACAAACTGGTCTGAGTGGATGAACAAACATGACATGGTGTAGAAAGACTGAAACACATCAAATGGATGCTATTTTCCTCCCAGCGAAAAAGAAAGTTTGGGCCTTGCATTTTTCTTGTTCAATATAATCTCCTGGTCTTTTTTGGAACGTTTCTTCTCTTCTTCTTCCATTCTCTGTTTCTCCTCCAACATTTTTCGTTGTTCTTCCACAAGCTTCAACTGCTCTTCAGCCTAAAACAAGAATACAACAAATTAAAACCTAAGCAAAGTAATTAATCTTGTAATAATAAATAAATCTGGTCTTTATTTTTTATTTACCCGCAATGAAGAGAAAATAATTTTATTACAAAATAATATATTAAATAGTAGCCTACCAGTTTTCTTTGAGCTTCTTCAATCTTCTTGTTATTCTCAATCATTATCCTTTCCAACTCTTCTCTTTTTTTACGCTCCTCTTCCTGAAAAATTGATGAAAAGCAGCTAGAAATATAATATTTTCAATGAACATGTAGACATTAATACACATAAAGTTTTTTTATAATTAAAAAGTAGCTAATCGTTATGAATGCAGCTGAAACAGAAAGATAGATTAATTATCAAGCGTGATATTAATGTTTACAGCACTTGTTATATTTGTTTTATCTTTTTAAGATTTTTTAAAACAAAATGCCCTAATAATAAAACAGAGCAGTAAAAAATATTTAAATATATATTAAATTTTGTGGGAGATGTTTTAAAAATAAATTATAATATTAATAAATTACTTTTCACATATAAATCTATTCTTGGAGGAGCTAATTATGTATTAAGATTGAATATATGTTGTGTTCTTTAGAATACATGATTTTAAACCTGTGGAAAAAGTTTTTAATCAGAGATGATCTTAGACTAATTAGGGTTTAGACAGTTTCACACACATATCTACATGATAATTTGTCTTGGTTGATTTGTCCCCATCCTTAAAAAAAAGTGATTACAAAAACACACATCAACAATGAGAGGATCAACAAAAGTTGATAGTTGCAAAAATGAAATATAAAACTGATCTTTTGAATAGCAGTAATAAATGTACACTGAAGATTAAAATTCTTAGCAAAGACTGCAGCAGACATAATCTACATACCGATAAATTGGCGTACCTTGAGTAAAGATTCCAATCCTGGAGTAGCTGCAAACTTGGCAACAAATTAAACACACCTGCTCTTCAGGGCTATGACAGTTAACTAGTAAATGACAAACTACCCCAACTTACAGAGGGTAATTTTCATGTTGCTTTTGGGAGTTGAACTACCCTATACCCTATACATAGAATTCATTTATTTTCTTTGGTATACCTAGTTCTAAAGCAGTACCAACATAAACAGAAGTGGTTTAAAAGCCCAGCCCTATATAGATTCCTCAATAAAATTATTTCTTTCCATTTAAATGTACAAAATGAATGGTATTTTTAAATCACTAATGTTTTTTTATACATAAAGTCTACTATTTATCTTTCAAAAAATATAAACCCCACTGATCAAGGTGTTTACACTAATTCTAAAAGGGGTGAAAAAAATATGACATTTGCTATAGAATCCCTGATAGAGCAAATCCTATACAATAATCTTAAATAAAGGGATACCCCTTTGACAAAAAAGTGCTTTGTCTAAATGGGAGGGAAAAAATCTCTTTTAGGTTAGGTAGAGAGAATCGCTGAATAGAGGCAGATGAAATGAAAGTAAAATATGAAACTGTATTAATTATTGGATAAAATCTCTGGCAGGCTCATTCTTGTTCCACAAAAATAAAATTAATTTCTATCTGGCATATTTAAAATTATCTAAATGAAAGAATTATTTCATGATTAAAAATACCTACAGCAAAAAGGGGATTTCTTGTTATTCTAGGATATTAAAAAGCATTTTGAATTTCAAAAAGGTAAATAAAAGTAATGCCTTGTCTACGATGTTCAATTCAAACTTAGTAAACTATTTTCCTTTCCTCCCTCAACTGAAGCTTTTTAAAAAAGCAATGCAGTTATTAACATACAATTTGATGAACATAATAAAAACAAGCCCAAACCCAGCCTGCCAATAGATCTAATCCTCTAGATGTGGAAAACAACAATCCTACCTCCTTTAAACGCTGTGCCTCAATCTCTGACTCTCTTTGTTTTTCTAGCTCTTCTAGCATTTGTTTCTCCATAATCTTCTTGGCCTCCTCCACCCTCCGAAGAACTTCAGCTTCAATTTCATCTTTACGCTTTTCAAGCTCTTCTTCAACTCGCTGTTTGACAAGGGCCTCAACTCTTCGAGCAACCTCTTCCTCAATTAACTTCTCTTCCAGCTCTTTCTGTCGTCTGTGAATGGAATAATGTGTTAACACCAAAGACTTAACTTTCACTTAAAACTAAATTTTGTGCAAGAAAAAAAAAATTGACTCTGTACTTTGTTTCAATACAAAAGTTAGTTACAACAAGGCAATCTACAACTATTAAGTTGCAGAATACTGATAATAATTTTGTAATTACATTACACCAAGAGCAGTTCATCAACTAAGTGAAAAGTCTTCAAAAGCCTTTTGAAAAAAAAAGTTTTCTACATGGTTTGATGTTCTAGTTACTATCTGAAAACACAAGTTGGTAAATTCATTTTAGTAATAAGAAAACATTCCAAAGCTGTCTGAATGTAACACTTAATCTAACAACAAGAGGGGGTGTCGATGTTCAGCAGCACAAAACTGAAGGATGTGCTTCATTTATGAGCACAAACACTTTTCAGCTTTGTAGCCGTTCTTTCCCATAACCAAGGAAGACATCTGCCAAAAGTACTTGTTACATTTAATAAAACACCGTGACTCACGTGTTAGAATGACCTTTTAACTTGGTAGCCTGCATTGATATTGAACTTGCATGTTTGAAGTATAAAATTACCTAGGGATAGGAAGATGAAAATATTCTATTCCAGATGGGGGGCATACCCACTCTGGGACTCACGAACCGTATTACTACTTTGCTACTACTGACAAGAAAAGCAGGGAAAAAAAATTTAAGCTGATAAGGGAATTACAATTCCTAAACAACAACCGCCAACTTGTAAGAAAATGCTGAATCTAAAACCAACATTTAGATTTTTTCAAATTCCCAGGTTAGACTTAATTTTGAAAGCATCCCAGGTAGCAATTTGTTTTAAAATATTTTGCACCAAAATTGGACTGTTGAAATACATTATCGTTTATTAATACATTTAATAAGGCCAATAACAACCACTGGCCTGATGCATAATGAAATAACTTAATATGGATAATTATTTTCTAACTTCAATTTACTTCTATTTTCTTTACATAAGGTAAATCAACTTCTGTGCCTACTTTTTATAGAGTAAAAAATGTGGATGCCCAAAACAAAAAAAGGAAACTAGAACCTGAATGAAAGTGATACTGAAACTATTGCACGATTTATTAATTCATAAATGATTAGCTTACAATAGACGTTGTCGTTCAATTTCAGCCTTCTTTTCCTCTTCTTCTCTTTTCTTAGCTCGAAGTATGAGATCATCATCGCTGTCAGAACTACTGGATGAAAATGACCTTTTCCTGATAAAATGTTAAAAGTATAGATCAATAAAAATCAAAACCACTGTTATTAGTAATAATTGTGTTTACAAAAAGACTTCTTTAACTTCTTAACTTACTACAATTAATCCGTAAATGCTACTGTTAGTACAATGACAAATAAATTGAACAAAATACTATCAAATTAAGGATGATTTAATTTTATTAAAAGTAGACAGTACACTACATATTCAAACCGCCGATCAATGGGCTTGAAAAGTGGTTCCTAATTGTTGTTGCCAGAAAGCTTATTTTTAGCTATTTTTTATTTGAAAAGAAATGTGAAATAGGTAGGCCCTACAGAATTACTTCCAGTTTTATTGAAGCTAAAAATAATTCCAACAAGTAAGGGATCGTCCATTTAAGAATGGATATCTTTTTTTAGATTGCGTGCTACCTAGAGCAAAGATTAAAAAGGACTGCATAGCGTTCTGCGCAAATGCGGCCTTGAATTATCAAGTCATCTAAAGAGCAAAAATTAAAACATTAAATCATGACAATGCATTGCCACTGAGGCACTAGTGAGAGTGACTAGATCTAGAGTAATCTAGACTCTACTCTAGACTACTACTAGTGACTGGACTTGTCACTCACTCAACTGATGATTCATGATTCTATTCAAATCTATTCTTGCTGAGTGCTCGATTTTACTTTTACTTTAGTTTTAGTTTAGGGAGATTCTAGGCCCCTAAGTTCATTCTTCTAGTCTAGAAATTATTTTATCAAAATATAGATAGTGTAGCAATACCTTGGAGGACGTTTTCTGTCTCGAGATCTAGAACGCATACGACTGCTCCTACTTTGCCTTGATTTCGATGCCCGGTCTTTGGATGGTGATCTTGATTTTGAACGATTCTTCTTTCGTTTTGATCTGTGCCTTTGACTTTGGCGACTGGATGATCTACTTCTACTTCTCGACCTCCCCATTGTTAGTATTTTATTTTGGTCTTTCTTCACGGTTAAATTAATTTAGATATCTAGTTTATAAGTAGATTAGATTACATTATAGATCTAGAATCTAGATCTACCTCAAGAATAAGATCGTTGTCCTTTATTGTACAAGACTTCTACGTCGTTTACAGGAACAAAAATGGCCGTCTACAACCACAAATAGTGCCCAGATTTATTTTTATATTAGGGTTAAATGTAACAATACTGAATGATTGTACATCCAGCATAGAATTAATAAATATTTTCTTGATTAAAGCAATTTAAATGATACCAAGAAATTAGCTTCGGTTTATTTTACGGTACTGTGATTTTTACTTCAATTATTAGGCTAACAGCTTCGTTATCCAGCATTGCTGACGCCATAAGCTTTCTGATGGCATCAATACAAACTGCCACGTTGTCCTTTAGCCTAACAGACACTTTCCATGGCTCAGCGACAGTGTTCCCGTCCTTTTTGTCATTATTTTAGTTGGGCCCAGAGTTTCTTCCAGGCATCCCCCCCCCCCCCCGATAAAAGTCTACCGACCCCCCTCCCCACCAAACGAAATGGAATTTATATAGAAAATATATACATTTAAAAGTGTCCGCCCCCCCTCCAAATATATATATATATATAATATGTAGCGCCGTCGAAACGACCATTCACAAAACGGCCCCGACAAAAGGCCCCCATAAAAAACCCACTACAGATTGGCCCCTTGACAAACCGACCCAGACAAAAGAGCCCTGACTAAATGACTCCCTACATATTGGCTCCAGACAAACAAATCGTATGGCTACTTTTGGCATAGAAGTAACCATTAATTTTGCAACACACTAACCACACCCAGTTTCTACCTCCACTACCTAAATAATTTTTTTTTCATAAACCAGCAGCATTTTTAAACAAATCGAGCTTCTAACAGCAAAGTACCACTCGTTTTAAAATGTTGTAAATGTTTTATCAACCTCCGTGAAGATCTGTTGCTTAAAAAGCGAGTACAGATATGCATTGTGTTTACAGGATAAACGACGTTTTGTTTTGATAATCAACAAGCAGGCTGAAGTTTAATGCTCACAGCATATGCACCTCTCTCCCCACGTACCACGTACTCAGTTGGAATAGCCCACAACTAGTGTTTTTTCCAAACTTTTTGTATCCAGGCGGGGGGGGGGGGGGCGCTTGAAATTTTCGAGAGGGGGGGGGCGGTATAAATTATATGTAAATTCTATTTCGTTCGGAAGGGGAGGGTATAGACGTTTTTCGGAAAGGGGGGGGGTCGAAGAGATGCCTGGAAGAAACTCAACCTAACTGACTCGTAGAAGTCAAAGTTAGAAAACCCTTAAATTTAAACTATACAATTTCTTATACTAGATAAAATAATATAATAATAAGGCCTATCGAACAAGAGCTAAATAGGCTTATAATTTAAACAGTGTTTCTTCCAGACTTTTTTCTCCGGGGGGGCACTTGAAATCTTCGGGGGGGCGGTAAACTTTCTTCGGGGGGGCGGACACTGTTAAAAGTATATATTTTCTATATAAATGATACAAATTTCATTTCGTTCGGGGGGGCGGTAAAAATTTTTCGGGGGGGCTTCGCCCCCCCGAAGAGATGCCTGGAAGAAACTCTGAATTTAAATATACGCAGTATACGCGTACATGTATGTGAATAATCTTTAATCACTGCAGACTTTAAGTAATATGTTTATCTATAGTCTGTTAATAATACAGTTGGATGAAGCATCGTTTTCTCTATAGTTAGTATGTTTACGTCGTGATATCATCCCCCACCCTATTGTAATAATTGTCGTTTTGTACTTAAAAGAATATTTAACTTTAATTAATCATTAATGGAACTGGCAAAAAAAAGAATTTTTCTTCTGTACATTTTGCAATTTGTCATGGTGTCACCCCCACCCCCCCCCCCCCCCCCCTAAATGGTGTCACCCGGTGCGGTCCGCACTCCCGCCCCGCTCTTGCTACGCCTCTGATTATAGGTGTATATATATATATATATATATATATATATATATATATATATATATATATATATATATAATATGCGCGTTTAAACTTCACAAGCGTGGATGAAGTCCTTACACTTTACCCCTTTCTTCCTCCTCACCCCTCCCAAGAGTGAACAGTTATACGTCATTATGGACGATTCCATTCTAGTAATGACGACAAATACACGATTACGTACTTTTAAAATGCAACTTTAAAATATAGCAGCAATGTAGACACACATTTCAATAACAAAAATAGTACATAGATCTATATACCTTAAGTATTAAATGAGAATTGTTTATTTAATTTATTCTTTTGGGATAGTTGGCTTGTCATAGGCTTACGCGCTTTTTAGTTTTTACGTAAACTATTTTGACCTTCAGATGCTGAAAATATTGCCAGGATTAGTTTCAAAACACGTGTTGTACATCAACAAGAATGGCCACAGAAGGTAAACACGAGACAAGCATTTTATACATGTTTATTTAAGGATTGCACAATAAACATACACATTTATTAAGATGAATCTCATCCTAATCGTATAAATAAGAATTAAAGTTGAACTGATCTTACTAGCTAAGTGCAAAATGCATCACTCAACTACTTCAACGCGAAGGATTAAATTAAGGCCGATTCTAGTCGGAATAAGATACGCATGCGATACGCATGCGCAATGGAGAGAAACTACGACTTAGTGGCGATGTTTTCGATGGTACTGCGCATGCGTGTGTTTACAACCGCAGAACCCTAATACCAACCCTAATCCTATCCTTAACCCTATCCCTAATCCTATCCCTAACCCTAACCCTAGCCCTAATCCATCCCTAACCCTAGCCCTAATCCTATCCCTAACCCTAACCCTATCCCTAATGCTACCCCTAACCCTCATTCTAGCCCTAACCCTAGCCATAGGTCACTGCGCATGCGCAGAACTATCTTTTGCCGAAAAATCTTATTCCGAGTAGACACTTCGTTAAATTAAATTTCCCACCCACGAGAGATTGACGAAGTGCAATCTCTGGTCTGGTAGTACGACTGAGTAGGCTCTACCTAACTTAATTTTTTACCTAAGACAAGTTTAATCCTACAAGTCCAAATCTACCTAGTCAAAGTCAAGTATCCTTTATAGAAGAATATAGGCCTAGATCTAAAATAGATCTAGAATGTAGTGCTAGTGCAGCTGTAGGGTTCCCACAAGCTACACACTACAGTCACAGTGACTACACAACTACACAGACCCAAAGCATGAAATTTTCAAGCATTTGGTCTAGAAATATTTATTAACAATGTACACACACCATGCTAAAAAATATAATATATGATTAGGCCCTGGAATAGCCTGCCAGACTATGATAATCATAATGACGCTTCAATATTTTTCAGGTTTTTGGCATGTAAGGCGTAAGCCTAAACTTTTTTTTTATGTTAATGCAAAATCACAGTGGTTGGCTTGTAGACTATAGTAATTACTAGAATGTTAATTTATGAATGCTTATGTGTCAAGCCCTTTTGATTTCCCTTTCAGGAAATTTAATTTGAATTCTTTTAAGTTGCAAATGCATATTTTCTCCTTTGCTTTTGTATTGTCTAGATTTTCTTACTAAATCCAGAATTTACCCAAATTTTCAAATTAAGCATGACTACTGAATAATAGACATCCATATTTAATCCACTAGGCACTAATTTAGAAGTTTTTAGTTCGTTTTAAACTAAATTACTTAATTTTTATTGACACTCACAAAAATGCACAACACACCTCTCCATGACAACTCTTCATGCTTGAAGCTAAAGAAAACCACAAATAGGTTAGACATGTACCCAGAGTTCCCCACTAGTGATCATCAAGTAGCGGTCACGTGGTTTAAAAAAATTAATAAATTTGGTCGTCATTCAAAAGTCGTGTCTTATTTTAAAAAGCGCATGCAATTTATTGCAATATTTGATTTATTTCTTCATATAGGCCTAATGATAAACCTAATAGTTCTACAACCTCCACTTCATTTTTGTGACCTCCGGGCTGATATTTTAGAAGTTCTATTAATTTTAATTAGACCGACTTTTAAATTTAGCCTTCATTCTCCAAAGCAAAATTTAAAATGCTTTTCTTGCTATTTAGACTTGCCACCTATAGCATGTTTTTATAACGTGAAAACCCGCCATTTTACTCGTGATAAAAATTTTTAAAAGTAATTCTAAGAAGGTCTCTGGAACTAAGACAAAAAATCGCCGGAAGTCATGCATCCTGTCCGTACGCCATATTGTTGTTAGCAACCGGCCACGCCTCCGGGTTAGCGAGAAATACTAGTATTGTCTTACATGATGGGATAGTGACATAACACATTAGGAACTTGGTAAATTTAATAGGCTTAGGGCCTATAAAATAGTTGTGTTTTTTTTTAAATTATTTTATACTTACTTACAGACTAGATAGCTTTACTAGATATAGGCCCTACTGTTCAGTATAACTATGTTGTACTATAGGCCTATAACTTAAAATTTGACCCTCAACATCTGAAGATCCGCCCAAAATGCAAGTGCAACAGCTCAACCACATAGTGCATTTAGTTTTTTTAGAAAAATATGGCTAAAAGTAATTTGAGCCCATTGCAAAGCTATTTATTAGGTCATTGCGTTTCACATCTTCCTTCAAATAGTCACTAGATCTTTAAGAAAGAAAAAAAACATTTTCATTTCCATACAATTTTTGGGCTGACTCTGATAAGCAACATTAGATCGGCCTATTGAATACTTACTAAAATAGAAATGTAGGTATTTAGAATTCTATGTTTTGAAACTCTCTCAATTTGTAATGCACCAGCCTGGCTGTTAGCTATTTTTTTAAAAAAACTACTTTGGTGCCTTAGTTGCGAACTAAGACATTACCTATTCTTTATTTTTAGATAATAAAAAGAAGAAGAAAATCTCTAGTGCTGAAGTTGGAGTAAGTCAATATCTTTATACACTTAATAGTCCAGTATGAATTCTGTGTTGACATTTAGAAATTTATTTGTAACTGCATATAGATTAATTTAGATTTGATTCATGTTTGAATAGAGGAAATTTTAAATGTTTTGTTTTACTCATTCAGGAAATCCAGCGGTCAGAAACTTTTCTTATTGCTCCATCAGAAAAAGCAGCCAAGTTAGACACATCTCATTGGCCACTTTTGTTAAAGGTTAGTAGTATGTATGAGTCCCGTATCACGCAGATTAATCATGTAAGACTAGGGTCATCTGGCATTTATTTTATTTTTCATGAATTTATTATTCACACTCCACAGAACTTTGACAAATTGAACAGATTAACAAGCCACTACACTCCAGTGCCTGCTGGCTCTTCTCCCCTACAGAGATCTACAGAAGATTATGTTAGGTAAAACATTTTTCTTGCAACATCTTATTTTGATGAGCCAACTGTGGTACTAAATGCTTTTCTAGTCCATAAACACTAATGTGCTTGAATACATTTTCTGTTTTTTTTTTCTGACTTCTGATAAATGTTGAAAATATTTCAAAACATAGGCCTACCTTATAGTTCAAGGATGGTAAAAAATTATTATTTTACATTTCAGATCTGGGTTTATTAATCTTGATAAACCTTCCAACCCATCCTCACACGAAGTTGTAGCATGGATAAAGCGTATTTTGCGAGTAGAAAAAACTGGCCACAGTGGTACATTAGATCCCAAAGTTACAGGGTGCCTGATTGTCTGTATTGATCGGGCTACTCGATTGGTCAAATCTCAACAAGGTGCTGGTAAAGAGTATGTCTGCATTTTTGAGCTTCACAACCCGGTGGCAGATGAAAAGAAAGTCAGATTGGTATGTTTAACTTGCAAGTCGCATTCAGTGGAGTGATTTAAGTACAGTTTTTAGACCTGATTAAACAGGAAGGGTAGTGGATAATTAGCTATTTGATATTGACATGGTTGAGTGGTCAACAGCATGGCTAGTTACCTGTACTTGCCATGATTTAACTCTTGATACCTGGTAGTGCTGGGTAGACTTACTTTCCTATACCTGAGTTATCTAATAAAAATATTTGTAATTATATTTAAAAAAAACTGTCTATTTTACGCACCTTTGTATTATTTTCTTTTTAGTGTTTGGAGGGTATCAAAGGTGCTATGTTTCAAAGGCCACCCCTGATCTCCGCTGTTAAACGTCAACTAAGAATAAGAACAGTTTATGATGTTAAAATGATTGAATATGATGCCAGCAAAAGCCTAGGTAAGGCCTAATTTTTACACCTTAAGCTTAACTTGTTAAAAAAATGTATTTGTTAAGTATCCTGTTCTTTAAGAAGTAGTAATAAATTGTGACCAAATTTGTATTGAGAACTAAAGTCTACAGATAAATATACCTTTTATAATAATAATAGGAATTATATATATAATAGGAATTATGTATATTTTACATATAAATTAAAACAGCATTATGTGATCTGTATAAAGATCCTACATTAAATTACTTGCCATCTCATGTTTACTCAAGGCATTTTCTGGGTGAGCTGTGAGGCAGGCACTTACATTAGGACCATGTGTGTGCACCTGGGTCTATTCCTGGGTGTGGGAGGCCACATGAAAGAACTCAGAAGAGTTCGTTCTGGCATTCAAAGTGAAAAGGTGAATACAATTTTATCATTGGGTTGGTTCTTGGGGTTACACTATTTTGGTTATTTTCTTTAAGTTCTGAAAATTTTAAGCTGTGGTGCAAAGAGATTATGATATTTTTTTATGGAATTATTTTATCCTTATTTTAAGTTCTTGGCAATGCAGTTAGTATTTTTTTTTATTTATTGAAAGCTGAAAGTTTTGTGAGCAAGGCTTTTCCCCATTTTTTTTAGCCACTATACAGATTTCTATACATACTTACCTTTTCAAATGTACTTTGCTTGTGGTTGTTATAAACAAACGTAAAAACTAATGGAAATGTTTTATCATAGGATGGCATGGTGACCATGCATGATGTTTTAGATGCTCAGTGGATGTATGACAACCAGAAAGATGACTCATATCTTCGTTGTGCTATTAGACCCCTTGAGGCTCTATTAGTTGGTCACAAGAGGATTATTATCAAAGACTCCGCTGTAAGTGAACAGTTATCATCAGTTAATAAATGTTTTAATGTTTAACCTGGTGATATTCAGCACAGGCAGTGTTAGCGGCCACTCTATAAAATATTAATTTGTTTTAGCACAATGCCCTTGCTTTCTTGCAACTCTGTTGGCTTGTTACCCTTTACAACTATGTTCGCTCTTAAGGCCGTGGTGATTTGTTTGTTGTTGTTCATTTATTAAGATTTTTTTCCCCAACAGGTGAATGCTATATGCCATGGAGCTCAAGTACTTATTCCTGGTGTTTTAAGATATGAGGATGGAATAGAAGTGGGGCAGGAGATTGTTATTGTTTCGACCAAGGGTGAAGCCATTGCACTTGGTAAGTTATTGCTTTGGCTGTTGCACTTATTAATGTATTGGTTTATGTAATTTTTACTGTGTTATGTATGTAATATACATGTCTATCTTATAATTTAAGTGGTGATGTATGAATGCATTTTATTATTAACCCTTACAGCCTTGGGTGCATACTTTACCATTTCTCTTTCTGCATGCCCCGTCACGAACAATTCACTTTTAAGATTGTTTACCTATCTGAATAATTTTATTGCAGCTATTGCACAAATGACAACAGCTGTTATGTCAACATGTGATCATGGCATTTGTGCTAAGTTAAAGAGAGTCATCATGGAGAGGGACACATACCCAAGGAAATGGGGTCTGGGACCAAAGGTAATTCATTTTGATTCACTTAGGCTGGTAAAAATAAATTGTATGAATCTAATTTTAATGTATATTGAAGACCACATGAGATAAACCACAGATGACTAGTTTTTAACAAATTTCAGACTTCGCGGCCTTTCCATGTAGTACTAGAGCATTTCTATCATGTAAAACAATATGACCACCTAGATCCCCGCAGTATTTGCTGTTTTTTAATTTGTGACTCAATGGAACAACAGAACTGTTAACACTTACATTTTTCTCATAAGTACAAAGTTGACAGTGGTGGTTTATCCCTTGTTCTGCAATTGGTTCTAGCAATTGTCTGACTTTTTTTTATATTTCTTATAGGCTAGCAATAAAAAGAATTTAATCAAGCAAGGTCTTCTCAACAAATATGGGAAACCTAATGAGAACACTCCTAAAAACTGGAACCCTGCCATTGATGACTTCAAGTAAGAATAATACTTGTTTTTATTTTTTGATTAGGGTGGCCAGGTTTTTCTGATCTATTTATTCAAGACTTAAAATATAATTTGCAAAAGCTAATGTATATAGACAAAATGTGGTTTACAGTGAGTTTTCTTGTTTTCAGTGCTGGAACAACAGTAAAAGTTGAAAATGCAACTGCTAATGCACAGTGAGTTGATTTTAAAAATATTTCTCATAACTTTTTAGGGTTTAAAAAAATAATAAGAAAATAGCTACAATCCTGTGGCTTATTTCTTTAGGACAAGCATGAATCCAATCAGCTGTTATGGTTGATTGTACTATGTCAGCAGAGAAAGTGGTCACATAATGCCTTCCTGAGGTGTCATAGGGAGGGTAACTCAAATATGTCTTTTGACCACTAAAATACTGATAATCATTAGCAGTAGAGGCACTCAGGGTAGAATTAGAGAACTGACTAGTACAGGGGTCGGCAACCTTTTGAAGCGGAAGTTACAATTTTCAAAATTTCCCTGGTTTTAAAGAGCCACTAACATTTTTTTATTTTAAATATTTTATTTTTTTATTAAGATTGTTAGTATTTGTGCAAGGAGCTGGGGAGCCGCAACTTGATATCAAAAGAGCCGCATGCGGCTCGTGAGCCGCAGGTTGCCGACCCCTGGACTAGTACATTAATAAAGAATAATTTATTTAACTTGAATGTTTTCAGAACACCTGCCAAAACTGGAAAAAAAAGGCAACGTGAAGGCAGTGATTCTGGAAGCGATGTAGAGAAGGTCCCTGAGATCACAACACCAAGTGGAGATGCCTCTGGAGACAAGAAAAAGAAGAAGAAGAAGAAAGACAAACAAAAGGACTTAGATGGAGAACCTGAGGCTGTAAATGTTGAGGTTTGTTCTTCCAGCCTAATTTTATTTCCTTGCATTTTTAAACAGTTTGATGTGTCATTAAGTTGCGTTTTTGTTTTAATTTAAGAATTATTTAAAATTATTTTTGGTGTAGGCTGTAATTGGGCTGCTTCGCATTATAAAAATGCCATAATTTTAATGTTGTAAGCTGACATTATTAAAATACAACTAGCAAAGCTTATGTAAATACTGTTATGAATTTTCAGTTTTCATTTATTTTATTTATTTATTTTTAGGTGACATCTGAGAAGAAGAAAAAGAAAAAAAAGAAGCACAAGAAAGATGATGATGCCGAATAAGGGGTGGGTGATCAAGCTAGGTTTTAGACACTGCCATTTAGTAGATAAAATGAATGCTAGTATCTTCTCTGTATGGTTGGACCATTTGTAAATAGTGAGAGATGTGTGATTGAGGGATGTTAGGTAATTTGGTAGGATATTAAGCATTCGTTTTTATTGGGAATTTTTATATGGAATAAATTTGTCGATCTGACATGCTCAGATGCTGATTCCTGTTTTTCAAAATTGTTAATGTGAACTCGGGCATTTGAAAATAAATTTTAACTACAATTTATTGTTTTATTTTTTGTCTGTATGGAAGGACTACTTTACAATAAATTATTGCACTATATTTAAAAAGCAGCTATAGGCCTACAACAAAGTAAAAGTTGAAAATGCAACTGTTGATTATTGGGCAAACTTTATTCCAGTTGGTGGTGTCATTTATTTACTTTTTATACAAGTTACAAGCACACCACGTTTTGCACTTGTGACATATATACTATCCATGTCTAGAAAAATTAAGCATGTTCCAGGTTGTTTTTCAAGACTAAGCATTTTAACATTACCTAAAATAAAGCGTTCCACTGTAAATACCAGTCTTAAATGGGGTTCATCCAAAATTTTTCCAAAGTAATCAAGGCCATCCCCATCTGTACTTCAGGACAGAATACTTGTCATAAGTATTGCATTCCTCACACATTGGGGTAGAGGAAGCTGACCAACCCCAGCAACCAGTCTGTCCCCTAGACTTTTCCTTATCACAACAGTTGCTTCTTCCTGAAGCGTTCGAGCATTACTTGCCAACTTAACAAACCACTGCAAAGTTGTTTCATAGTCATAAGGCAGATTCTGTGCATTTTTTAGCGTTATCATTGTTGTATCTGAATTTGTGGCAGTGCTCTCCGCTGATTGTAATAAATCATTCAGGAACATTGTGCGTTTTCTATGTAGAGGATACCCAGCTTTCACCATAAGCTTACAGAGATCTAGGTAACCCTCCATGTACGCAAGCTCGAATGGGTCTAATATGTATTCGATCCTCCGCCTTCGCTTGTACACGTTGCCTTTGATTGTGAGGTCACAGTTGTAGTAGACAAGTGTCTTCAGTGTTGGGAGGTCTCCAGTGCTGGCACACACGAGGGATGGGGTCACACCCGATGGAACTGAGGATATAAGAATTGATGATTCAGGTGGAACTGAGGATATAGTTACAATATAAATAATTCAGGTGATGGAACTGAGGATATAAATGATTCAGGTGTTAGATGGAACTGAGGATATAAATGATTCAGGTGTTGGAACTGAGGATATAAATGATTCAGGTGTCAGAACTGAGGATATAAATGATTCATGTGTCAGAACTGAGGATATAAATGATTCAGGTGTCAGAACTGAGGATATAAATGATTCAGGTGTCAGATGGAACTGAGGATATAAATGATTCAGATGGAACTGAGGATATAAATGATTCAGATGGAACTGAGGATATAAATGATTCAGGTGTCAGATGGAACTGAGGATATAAATGATTCAGATGGAACTGAGGATATAAATGATTCAGATGGAACTGAGGATATAAATGATTCAGGTGTCAGATGGAACTGAGGATACAAGAATTGATGATCCAGTTGGAACTGAGGATATAGTTACAATATAAATGATTCAGGTGTCGGAACTGAGGATATAAATGATTCAGGTGTTAGATGGAACTGAAGATATAAATGATTCAGGTGTCAGATGGAACTGAGGATATAAGAATTGATGATTCAGGTGGAACTGAGGACATTGTTACAATATAAATTATTCAGGTGTCGGAACTGAGGATATAAATGATTCAGGTGTTAGATGGAACTGAAGATATAAATGATTCAGGTGTCAGATGGAACTGAGGATATAAGAATTGATGATTCAGGTGGAACTGAGGACATTGTTACAATATAAATTATTCAGGTGTTGGAACTGAGGATATAAGAATTGATGATCCAGTTGGAACTGAGAATATAAGTACCATATAAATGATTCAGGTGTTGGAACTGAGGATTATATATGATCAGGTGTTAGATGGAACTGAAGATATAAATGATTCAGGTGTCAGATGTAACTGCGGATATAAATGATTATGGTTTCAATGGAACTGAGGATATAAATGATTCAGGTGTCGGAACTGAAGATATAAATGATTCAGGTGTTGGAACTGAGGATATAAATGATTCAGGTGTCGGAACTGAAGATATAAATGATTCAGGTGTTGGAACTGAGGATATAAATGATTCAGGTGTTGGAACTGAGGATATAAATGATTCAGGTGTTGGAACTGAGGATATAAATGATTCAGGTGTCAGGTGGAACTGAGGATATAGTTACAATATAAATGATTCAGGTGTTGGAACTGAGGATATAAATGATTCAGGTGTCAGATGGAACTGAGGATATAAATGATTCAGGTATTAGATGGAACTGAGGATATAAATGATTCAGGTGTTAGATGGAACTGAGGATATAAATTATTATGGTTTCAATGGAACTGAGGATATAAATGATTCAGGTGTCGGAACTGAAGATATAAATGATACAGGTGTAAGATGGAACTGAGGATATAAGAATTGATGATTCAGGTAAACCTACATCTAGTGTTACCATCAGCTCCAAGTGATAAGAAGTAACGCACCATTTCATCTGATTTTAACAGAGCAGCAGATATCAAAGGGTTGCAACTCTCACAAACTTTAATATTTAAATCCGCCCCAGCAGAAACAAGCAAAGTTATAATCCTTTTAAAATGTTCATTGATAACTGGGCCTCGAACTCCAGAGAACAGGGCTAGGGTGAGTGGCGTTCGCAGTGTTTTGTCAATTTCATTGATGTCGGCACCAAAGGCTATCAATGTTTCTACTGCTTGCACATTTCCTGAAACTATGGCAACCTGAATTTTAAAAAAAAACACTGTTGATTCAATTTATCTGGGTATCTTCTAAAGAAAGCACGATATCATCTATAAAAATAAAAAAATTGAAATTTTCAATTCAAGATAATAAATGCTGAAACTACCACTTCAAATAGTTTAGGTTTGGGCAGTGGTTCTTAACCATTTTAGAGGTACTGAACCCCACGAGTTTTATATTGTTTGCACTGAAAAACAGATTGTGAATCGTATGAGTCGGGTGTGTTTCTTGACCTCTGAAGAACCTCTGAGACTGACTCACCGAACCCCTGGGGTTCAATTTAACCCAGGTTAAGAACCACTGGGTTAAATTTTTTACATACAACACACTCCAGGGGCGTAGCGAGGGGGGGGGGGGCGGGGGTGCGGACGCACCGGGTGATACCATTTAGGGGGGGTGACACCATTTAGGGGAGTGACACCAAGGCAAAAAATAGCAAAATATATAGAGAGAACTTTGAGGGGGGGGGGGTGCAAATCGAAAGTTTGAGGGGGGGGGGGGCAAATCGAAAATTTGTCCCCGGGAAGGGTCGCTGCGCCTCTGGGGGGGTGACACCATTTAGTGCCGCATCGGGTGACACCCGACCCCGCTACGCCACTGACACACTCTAATATGGTGTGTATATTTAACGACAGTGAGAGAATTGGATAGAATTCAATTTTGAAATAATGTCAAAATAAATAAACTTCAGTTCTATACTTTTTCGCCAAAAAGGTGTAAGAAAATATGAAGAAATTACAAATAATCAACTAACATGTAAAGCCGTTCTTTTTCCCCTGTAATCTTTCAAATCCACCAACGCCCCCTCCTTTAGAAGTGTCTTCATCACACCTGCTCTAATCCCTTCTAAATCCTGCATACAACACATCATGAGGGGAGTTAATCCTTCATGGCATCTAATGTTCACATCAGCCCCATAATCCAGGAGGAGCTGAGCCATCTCTTCATTCCCAGACTCCACAGCGCAGTGTAATGGAGACTTGCCAAACTTGTCTTGGCACTTGACCAGTTCTGCGTCAGCATCAAGAAGTGTCTAGAATAGTTGTAATTATCATAGTTTTGAATGTCACATTATAGATTAAAATCTAAATAGTTGTAATTATCATAATCTTGAATATCAAATTATAGATTAAAATCTAAATAGTTGAAATTATCATAATTTTGAATATCAAATTATAGATTAATATCTAAATAACTGAAATTAACATAACGAGCCAACCAGAGGTGTAGCATACGCCGCTATTTAGTTGATTTATTTTCAATCTATATATATAATTCTCTTCTTGGAGACCTTAGAAAACACCAAGCTGTAAGCGAGCCTAGCAGGCCCCTCTCTTCCTCTCTAGGCATATCCCTACCACTCCCACCCCCACCCCCACATGGCCTGGTGAGCTGTGGTTCACGCTAAATGTTTACAATCGTAGAGCCGGGGTCAGTGACGGCTATTAGGGGCAGATAATTTAGTTTGAAACGATTTTAAACTTAGGGGAGGTAACTAAGAAGAGGCTTCTTTCACGGGGAGGGGGGGGGGAAGGGTAGGGGTTAGGGGAAAGGAGGGGGGGGGGGGTTATCATCCTTAACGACCTACTGATAGTGTTTTAAATCAAATATTTTCAGTGGCAGCATTGGTACTGTCGAATTCACAAATTATGAATTACTGAAAAGTATTAAATAAAACAACTAAATAGCGGCGTATGATACGCCGCGGGTCGGCTCGTAATTTATAATTTGTGAATTCGACACTACCAATGCTGTTACTCAAAATATTTTGCTTTAAAATACTATCAGTATCTCGTGAAGGACGATTATCTTCCCCCTCCCTCCCCCCATCCCTCCGCCCCCGTGAAAGCAGCCGTCCGTGACGACATTTTACAGACCACAATAAAAAGATCAAACATAACTTGTTATCTCCCCTTAGTTTCAAACCGTTTAAAAACTAAATTATCTGCCCCTTATAGCCGTCACTACTAATTCGACCTGGCTCTACGATTGTAAACATTGGGCGTGAACCACAGCTCACCAGACTGGTGGGGGGGGGTGGGGGTGGTAGCGATATGGTTTGTTGCGCAATCCTGGAGACCGAGGGAGAGGGCGTACGTGATGGTGGTGTCCCGCATGGTCCCACGTAGAAAATTATATTTATAGATTTTGAATATCTAATTATAGATTAAATTCTAATGAGTTTGAATCATCTTACTTCTGAATATCGAAATTATATATTAAAATCTAAATAGATGTGATTTTCATATTTCTGAATATCAAATTTTTAAAATGCAATCTAAATAGTTGAAATTCTCATACATTTGAAGATCAAACAAATCCAGTGGCACAATAAAATGTAAATAGTCGTAGTTTTACTTTTAAATATCAAGAAAATCAAATTTTATTATAAAAACTTCAAAAAGTGTCAATTATATTTGTTTTATCTTTGCATAGTTTTATTTTTTAAAAATGTCAACTAACATTACTTACAAACATTAATTTGAACAAAACCAACCAATGCACACAAGAATATTTGACCAAATAAAATAAGAGAGACGAGAACGTGTTTAACTCTATGTAGCGCTGATTCAGAGGCGTAGCGGATGGGGGGGGGGGGGGGCGGGGGGGGGGGTGCGGACCGCACCGGGGGACACCATTTAGGTGGGTGACACCAAGGCAAAAAATAGCAAAATATATAGAGAAAAATTTGAGGGGGGGGGGTGCAAATCGAAAGTTTGAGGGGGGTTCAAATCGAAAGTTTGAGGGGGTGCGAATCGAAAATTTGAGGGGGGGGGGGTGCAAATCGAAAAATTGAAAGTTTGTCCCCGGGAAGGGTCGCTACGCCTTTCGGGGGGGGGGGGGGGGTGACACCATTAAGTGCCGCACCGGGTGACACCCGACCTCGCTACGCCACTGAGCTGATTCATGTTTCATAACATAACTGTTACATTTTACACTATAGCTTTACTTATCCCCAACAAATGCCGAGTACTCAATAGAGCTGCATTAATGATGACGAGAACACCCTGATAGTTTAAATAATACATTTTTTTTTAAATTTTTACCGTGTTGCAACAGTAATATTCCTTAAGTCTATAATTTTAGTGTCATTAACTTCGCAAACAATGTAGCCTTTGACTCTCATTCATACATTTGTAATGCTGGCCCAACCACACAAACCAACCTTTGCTATTTCTGGGAACTGAATAGCCACACTGTACATCAGTGGTGTCTGCCCCCATTGGTCTCTAACCGTCAACTGGGCGCCATGATGAATGAGAACTCTGAATCAAATAATATAAAAATACTAATAATAAGTTATCAACAGTTTATACCAGGGGTCGGCAACCCGCGGCTCGCGAGCCGCATGCGGCTCTTTTGATATCAAGATGCGGCTCTCCAGCTCCTTGCTCAAATACTAATAATCTTAATAAAAAAAAATATTTGAAATAAAAAAAATGTTATTGGCTCTTTAAAACCAGGGAAATTTTGAAAATTGTAACTTTTGGCTATTCTGCTTCAAAAGGTTGCCGACCCCTGGTTTATACCATTGCGTAGGGTCTTAATGTTATTCACTTAAAAACCCACCTTTGAAATATAATACGTTGCAAAGTAGAATTAGCCTAATAGGCCTACTAATAAAATTGTAGAGGGTATTCATGTGTTAAAATTGTATTTCAAAAGGAGAACCAAGCACACGAAATAGTTTAGGCTTATTTTAAACACCATAAACCAGGGGTCGGCAACCTTTTGAGACCGAAGAGCCAAAAAGTTACAATTTACAAAATTTCAGTTTTTAAATAGCCACCAACTTTTTTATTTCAATATTATGACCTTATAATCTTTATTTAGGATTTGGTATATATATATATATATATATATATATATATATATATATATATATATATATATATATATATATATATATATATATATATATATATATATATATATCAATGTATGTGTGTGTGTGTTTGTTTTTCTTTTATGCATTACTACACCTTTTATCCGATTGCCATGAAACTTTGGGAAGTTGTTGAGAATACTCCTGAAAAGGTTTCTGGGAAAAAAGTTTTTCAAATTCGCAGAAGTGGCTCCCCGGCAGCGCGCTATTTGATTCTTCTCTATATACTGTATATAAAAATAAATGTCGATTGCGGTTTGACACCGTTCATCCGATCGTCATGAAACCTCAAGGAGTTGATTAAAACACTTCATGGGAGATTTGTACAAAAAAATCATTTTAAATTTCTTATAGGCGGCGCCCAGGTGGTGCATTTTTTTGTCAATACACCTTCTGGCGCCAAGAGTTCCAGAGCGGCTATGTTAGTATTCGGCATCCGTTAATCGGGCGTCCTGCATAGCGGGTAAAGGCTATTACTATGTTCAGCGGCAAAACTGCAACAGGCGCAACCACTGCCCAACACGAAGCACCCCGGGCTCGCCTGTGAGCACTATGGCGCCTACGTTCGTTTTTAAAAATAGGCTATACACTCAGAGGCGTATCCAGGTTTTCGTTGTAGGGGGAGCGAAATGAGCAAAAAAAGGCGCCGAATTTTTAACACGTTCTATATACATGTATTATATATATATATATATATATATATATATATATATATATATATATATATATATATATATATATATATATATATATATATATATATATATATATATATATATATATATATATATATATACATACATACATAAAGTTTCCAAAAAGGCGCCATATATATATATATACATATATATATATATATATATATATATATATATATATATATATATATATATATATATATATATATATATATATATATATATACATAAAGTTTCCAAAAAGGCGCCACTTTGCTGAAAATGGCCAGAGGGGGAGCGGCCGCTCCCCCTGCTCCCCCCTGCGTACGCTACTGTATACACTATAGACACAATGGACAAAAATACGTTCATTTTAAAACAGTGCGATAGGCTATGGATACAATGAGTTGCTTTAGTCGCTCACTAAATCGAATCAGGTGCGTCCTCCTGCTTATCTGCAGGGTGCGATTTAGCGCCCAGGACTGTCCAGCGAGCAATAAGCGCCTACCTTAGTTTTAAGGAGCACTCTATCTCTCTCTTCCCAGATCACCGGGTCGCTAGAGGCCGTACGCTGCGCCCCTGCGGTCGTGTAATCAGGTTCACGAGAGCGCCACTCACCGTCCTCGACAGTTAGGCGGTGAGTGATTAACGGAGATATCACGGTGAGTGATTAACTTACACTCAAGGCTTTCATACAGCACGACATGGTGGTGGGTGGTAGTGTAGGTAAACCTGTGCCCCGATAAATATGATCCAAACACGGACATTGTTTACGTTTAAATAACTCAGCCTTAGAAAACAATGAAGTACAGTGAAATAGGGAGTA